TGCTGGTCTTGGGTACTGTGTACCAGTTGTACCCATTAACCGGTTAACCCGAACCGGTCCAATCCGAACCCACGTTGATTATGGTGATTACGGTAAGTTGTTTACGCCACCGATGATTAGACGAGTAGGATGATTGGATGAACACCGGTGAGTGATGGTTGATTAGATGCACTAGGTGATAGGACGCAGGGTCGCGTGTCTATAACAGTAGGGTGTAAGCTTCAACAATTCAATCACTTTCGAATCTCCATTCTACCCCTCAAGTGCCTTCGCTCCGGTCGCGCCGTCTGCGACGTCCCTCCCTCCGCTTCGTCCGAGCTTCGTGTCCAAGATCCATACCTTCCATCAGGTTATGAGCCCAAGCACCATGTCCTCTGCCCAAGACGCCTCGACCAAGGTCTCCATTGACAAGTTCAACGGGGACAACTACGCGACGTGGAACCGCTACATGCGTGGCGTGTTCCTGACCAAGTCGACGTGGCATGTCGTGAACCGCGAGACGACGCCGAGCTTCACGGACTCGCGGGCCAAGGACGACTACGTCAAGTCGAGCAACATCGCGTTCGGACTGATGTTGCTCCACATGGACGCGGACTACCACCATGTGGTCGACGACTGCGAGGAAGCGTGGGTTGCGTGGACGCGCCTGAAGACGCTGTACGGTGGTTCGCAGAAGGCTGGACGCATCTACCTGAAGCGCCAACTCTTCAGCATGGAGATGTCGGAAGGCGGCAACGTCTTGCATCATTGCAACGAGGTCCTCAACATCAGCGCCAAGCTCAGCAGCATCGGCGCCAAGATGGAGGATGAGGACGTGGCGATCTGCCTGTTGCGCAGCCTCCCCAAGAGCTACGAGAACGTCGTGCTGAACTTGGAGATGAGCAGCGCTGAACTACGATCGCAAGACGTCGTGAAGGTGCTGACGAATGAGCACATCAAGAGACAAGGTGAGAAGACGGCGACGGTGAAGACGGAGAATGCGGCCAAGGCGTTCAACACCGACCGAGAGTCTCGCCAGTGTACGTACTGCGGGAAATTGGGGCACACGATTGACAAGTGCTGGACCAAGCAGAAGGACGAGAATCGGGGCCCAAGACGCGGCGGCAATGGCAATGGCCGTGGACGCGGGGCCAACAATGCCCAGTGGAGGAACGACGACGCCAGCTACAACTACGACTACGGCTATGATCGAGTGGCGTTCGCGGTCTCACTGGAGTGTGGCATTTCGACGGACAAGAATGTGTCCGGGTTGTGGGCGGTCGACAGCGGCGCAACGCACCACATCTGCAACGACAAGGCCAAGTTCGCTCATTTGATTGAGCGGAATGAAGGCGAACTTTCGGTGGCCGACGGCAACAAGGCGGCCATCATGGGTGTGGGGACCATCGTGGAACGAGTGGTTCTGCCCAAAGGCGACGAGCGCGACATCGAGATCAAGAACGCGCTGTACGTCCCAAGCATGAGCAAGAATCTGCTTTCGGTGCCACAGATCAACAAGAGTGGTCTGTTCCAAGTCGTGTTCGACAGCACCAAGATGCAGATTGCGCACAAGGACTCCAAGCAAGTGGTGGCGACGGCAAACCTCGTGGATGGACTCTACTGGCTCCAGACGCCTCAGCGATCGGCGAATGCGGCGACCAGTGGGAAGACGGTCGACTTACACGCGCGTATGGGTCACGCTCCGGTGGAGGTGCTTCACAAGATGGTCGACAACAACATGATCAAGGACGCGAAGGCACCTTCCAAGTCGAGTGGACCAAGCGTGTGTCGCGGCTGCCAGCAAGGGAAAATGGTCCAGAAGCCGTTCCCAAGCAACCGTGACAAGCGTCACTACGACACGTTCGAGCTGCTCCACTTCGACGTGTGCGGCCCCATGGAAGAAGAGTCACTGGGTGGCAGCAAGTATCTGCTGCTGATCGTGGACGAAGCCAGCGGATGCATGAAGGGGTTCTGCCTGCGTGCCAAGTCGGAGAGCGAGGACTGCATCAAGATGTACGTCACGAAGGTGCAGACGCAGTTCGGCAAGAAGGTCAAGTTTGTGCGGCACGACGGAGCCCGTGAGTTCGCGACCAACTCGCTCAAGGCCTTCTACGAAGTCGAAGGCATCGAGCAGCAAACCACGGTTCCGTACGCGCACCAGACCAACGGCACGGCAGAACGCGCCATCCGGACCATCGTCACGATTGGCCGCAGCATGCTGCATCACGCCAAGCTGGACAAGAGCTTCTGGGCTGATGCGGCCATGACAGCCATCTACGTGAAGAATCTTCTGCCATCACCCAAGATCGAACACAAGACTCCGTTCGAGATCGTTTACAAGTCCAAGCCGAGTGTGAAGCACATGCGTGTGTTCGGATGCCAGACGTACATCCTGACGCCGAAGGAAAGACGGCGCAAGTGGGACCCCAAGGCTCGCGCCGGGCTGTTCCTCGGCTACGAAGAAGTGTCCAAGGCGTATCGAGTTTATGACATCGAGGCGGGGCAGGTGGTTATCAGTCGCGATGTCAACTTCGATGAGTCGACCTTTGGACTTTCGACGCATACTTCGGATGAAGACGTCGATGATGCTGTGCTGGACTTGGACGCGCTGGACCTGGACGACAACGATGGACCGCGCCAAACGAGCTTCAAGCAGGCGGGGAAGCGCAAGTACCGACCGAGTGGCGACGACAACACTGCCAGAAGATCGCGCCCCGTTCGCCACCGAGCTGGCTTAGAAGAAGCAAGTGCGCCGGACGTATCCTCCTCGCGCCGAGCCGACCCCGACGAAGAAGAAAAGTCTGGGGACCAAGATGAAGACGACGACTCGACGCCTCCAGTGTTTTGGCGTGCCAGTGCCAACGCTGTGGAAGCAGCAGCCGATCTATCGGAGCCGACGACGTTCCAAGAGGCTGTGAACGGTCCTGATCAAGTGCACTGGCGCAAAGCGATCCGCGCGGAGCTCAAGTCGATGCGACTGCGTGGTGTGTTTCGAGCTGCCAAGTTGCCTAACGGACAACGCGCCATCGATACCAAGTGGGTGTTCAAGATCAAGCGCAAAGCGGACGGCTCGATCGAGAAGTACAAGGCGCGCCTCGTGGCCAAGGGCTTCAAGCAGAAGTACGGCATTGACTACACCGAGACGTTCTCGCCCGTGGTCAAGTATGTGACACTGCGCATGGTGATCGCGATTGCTAAGTATTTTGGCTGGCCCCTCGACCAACTCGACGTGGTGACAGCATTCCTGTATGGGATAATGAAGGAGGTGGTCTTCTGCGTGGTTCCGGAAGGCGTCGAACTGGATGGTGACTTCGACTGCCTGGAACTGGTGAAGGCCATCTACGGTCTCAAGCAAGCTTCGCGAGTGTGGAACGAGACCTTCGACGAGTTCGTGTGCTCCATCGGCTTCCAAGTGTCGGCCTTCGATCCGTGCCTCTACATCAAGGTGGTGGACGGTCACTGCGTGCTTGTACTGGTGTACGTGGATGACGTACTGATTACCGGGAGTTCGCCCGAGCTGATCGCACGCACGAAGACCGACCTGAAGACGCGCTTCGAGATGACCGACAGCGGCAAGTGCGCGTTTGTTCTTGGGATCGAGTTGGTGGACGGCCCGGACGGCAGCGTGACCATGTGCCAGCGGCGATACGTGGACGACATCCTGAAGCGCTTCGCCATGGACGAGTGCAAGGCCGTGGTGAGTCCGGTGGACATGAGCACTCGACTGGTTCCAAGCGACGCGGCGACCAAGGTGAACGCTCCGTTTCGCGAAGCTGTTGGTGCTCTGATGCACCTGATGACCGCCACGCGCCCAGACATCACGTACGCCGTTGGCTATGTATCGCGCTTCATGGAGAACCCCCAAGAGGAACACTGGGTTGCGGTCAAGCGTATCTTTCGCTACCTGCAAGGCACCAAGACGCATGGGATCTGCTTCAAGCCGGGCGACAAGATCGACTTTCGTGGCTACTCGGACGCGGACTGGGCCGGCGACCTCGCCGACCGCAAGTCCACTTCAGGCTACACGTTCATGCTCATGAGTGCGCCTGTGAGCTGGGGAAGCAAGAAGCAATGAAGCGGAGTACATCGCGCTCAGTCTGGCTATCCAAGAAGGCAAGTGGATTCATCGCCTGCTATGCGAGATTCTGGCGGCCGCTAATGAGACTGGACCCGAACTCATGATCCGCGAAGACAACCAGTCGTGCATCAAGATGACGAAGAACCCAGTGAACCACGGTCGCGCCAAGCACATCGACATCAAGTACCACCACATCCGCGATGAAGTCAAGCGCGGCGAAGTCAAGCTCCAGTACTGCGAGACTTCTGTGATGCTAGCGGACATCATGACGAAGGCGCTTGCGGGACCACGCCACACGGATCTGACGGTGGCTCTCGGCATTCGTGGGACTTCGCATTGAGGGGGCGTATTGAGGGTTGCTGGTCTTGGGTACTGTGTACCAGTTGTACCCATTATCCGGTTAACCCGAACCGGTCCAATCCGAACCCACGTTGATTATGGTGATTACGGTAAGTTGTTTACGCCACCGATGATTAGACGAGTAGGATGATTGGATGAACACCGGTGAGTGATGGTTGATTAGATGCACTAGGTGATAGGACGCAGGGTCGCGTGTCTATAACAGTAGGGTGTAAGCTCCAACAATTCAATCACTTTCGAATCTTCATTCTACCCCTCAAGTGCCTTCGCTCCGGTCCCGCCGTCTGCGACGTCCCTCCCTCCGCTTCGTCCGAGCTTCGTGTCCAAGATCCATACCTTCCATCACACCTCGATCGGATCCACGATCGCGATCTTCACCTGACGGATCGGAGCGATCAAACCGCTGCTCACATTGTGGATCACGGAAACACACTGATCTCGATTGTTGGAGACGTTTGACGTGCGAGAAGTGTGACAAGAGAGGTCATCCGGCGGATCGCTGCCTGTTTGTGTGCCGTGGATGTGGTGAACTACACGAGATGGGCGAGTGTCCGATGGAGGAATTCTACAACCAGATCCGTCAATGGTTCAACCCGGTGAAGCACGCTGGCATGTTGCCCGCGATCGCCGAGAAGATGTTAAACTAGGACGCTCGCCGGGTTGGAATCCGGTACGAGCCGAGCGTTCTAGGTACTGCATCTATACATTCGTGAACAAGAACACGGTAGATCGAGTAAGTGGACGGACTGATCTACGCGGTAATACATGTCATCTGCATGCGAAATTTGCCGCCAAGGTCTTAAGTCTACATCGATCGGACGACCTCTGCCGTTCTGACGCCGAAGTGCCCTTGGATCTCCAGTCTGGAGAAACGCGGGGCTATTGGAAGCAACGCAGACCGGAGGAATGGTTCAAGCCAGCTGATGGAGAAGTGACGACCGAGATCCCGGAGCATGATCGCGATCGAAGTCGGCCTCGCGTCAGCGAACACCGCAGATCTGGCGATGTGGTGCCCGATCTCCTCCCTGGGGAGTCCAGAGGATACTGGAAACATCATTCACTAGGTAAGTGGTTCCGTCAGGCCAAGATCACTGGCAAGATCAACAATGAGAAGTCGATCTTACCCTTAGGCACCGGCGCCGAGGTGTCCATCGTGGACACCGCCTTCGCTCGTAAGGTGGGCTGCTACATCGACACGAGTCAGAGCCAGGAATGTGGGGGGATTGGCGAATACGTGTACATGACGGAAGGAAGGACCAGGATCAAGGTTACGCTGGCGGGATCGCTGGTGTATTTCTTCGATATCTGGGTTGGCGATCTATCAGGACAAGAGGCGATCCTGGGTATGGACTTCATGGTTCCGGCGGGGATCCGCCTCGATCTTGCGGACGGCTCTATCTGTCTCCCCGACGAAGTCAAGATCCAGCTTTGCGGACGGCGTCAGCTGTACAACAACAATGTCCGACACGTGTGTGTGGATCAGGGAATGCAGATCGCGATCGGGGATTCGATCGAGCTTCCGCTACGAATGAAGGTGACGGATCGAGAAAAGCTGTGGGTCACCCGTGGAGATCGCTGGGTGCCGACCGTGGTCCGAGGACCCGGCAGGATCCGATATCTCCAGGTTACCAACATCAGCGACAAAGACCTCGTCTTGCATCGGAATGAACGGATCGCGATGTGGCTGGCTAGAGATCGGATACCCCGGATCCCAGGATATGTGTCGATCGGATCTCGTCGATACATGGAATGGCAGAATCTAGCCTTTCAAGCCACGACAGATGACCGGCCGACGAGCCAGGAGGCACCAACGGGACCTCCAGTATCTGCCGTCGAGCGACCGATTTATCCTACGCCCCGAGCCATTCTATTGAGGGTTGCTGGTCTTGGGTACTGTGTACCAGTTGTACCTATTAACCGGTTAACCCGAACCGGTCCAATCCGAACCCACGTTGATTATGGTGATATTGAGGGTTGCTGGTCTTGGGTACTGTGTATCAGTTGTACCCATTAACCGGTTAACCCGAACCGGTCCAATCCGAACCCACGTTGATTATGGTGATTACGGTAAGTTGTTTACGCCACCGATGATTAGACGAGTAGGATGATTGGATGAACACCGGTGAGTGATGGTTGATTAGATGCACTAGGTGATAGGACGCAGGGTCGCGTGTTTATAACAGTAGGGTGTAAGCTCCAACAATTCAATCACTTTCGAATCTTCATTCTACCCCTCAAGTGCCTTCGCTCCGGTCCCGCCGTCTGCGACGTCCCTCCCTCCGCTTCGTCCGAGCTTCGTGTCCAAGATCCATACCTTCCATCAGGTTATGAGCCCAAGCACCATGTCCTCTGCCCAAGACGCCTCGACCAAGGTCTCCATTGACAAGTTCAACGGGGACAACTACGCGACGTGGAACCGCTACATGCGTGGCGTGTTCCTGACCAAGTCGACGTGGCATGTCGTGAACCGCGAGACGACGCCGAGCTTCACGGACTCGCGGGCCAAGGACGACTACGTCAAGTCGAGCAACATCGCGTTCGGACTGATGTTGCTCCACATGGACGCGGACTACCACCATGTGGTCGACGACTGCGAGGAAGCGTGGGTTGCGTGGACGCGCCTGAAGACGCTGTACGGTGGTTGGCAGAAGGCTGGACGCATCTACCTGAAGCGCCAACTCTTCAGCATGGAGATGTCGGAAGGCGGCAACGTCTTGCATCATTGCAACGAGGTCCTCAACATCAGCGCCAAGCTCAGCAGCATCGGCGCCAAGATGGAGGATGAGGACGTGGCGATCTGCCTGTTGCGCAGCCTCCCCAAGAGCTACGAGAACGTCGTGCTGAACTTGGAGATGAGCAGCGCTGAACTACGATCGCAAGACGTCGTGAAGGTGCTGACGAATGAGCACATCAAGAGACAAGGCGAGAAGACGGCGACGGTGAAGACGGAGAATGCGGCCAAGGCGTTCAACACCGACCGAGAGTCTCGCCAGTGTACGTACTGCGGGAAATTGGGGCACACGATTGACAAGTGCTGGACCAAGCAGAAGGACGAGAATCGGGGCCCAAGACGCGGCGGCAATGGCAATGGCCGTGGACGCGGGGCCAACAATGCCCAGTGGAGGAACGACGACGCCAGCTACAACTACGACTACGGCTATGATCGAGTGGCGTTCGCGGTCTCACTGGAGTGTGGCATTTCGACGGACAAGAATGTGTCCGGGTTGTGGGCGGTCGACAGCGGCGCAACGCACCACATCTGCAACGACAAGGCCAAGTTCGCTCATTTGATTGAGCGGAATGAAGGCGAACTTTCGGTGGCCGACGGCAACAAGGCGGCCATCATGGGTGTGGGGACCATCGTGGAACGAGTGGTTCTGCCCAAAGGCGACGAGCGCGACATCGAGATCAAGAACGCGCTGTACGTCCCAAGCATGAGCAAGAATCTGCTTTCGGTGCCACAGATCAACAAGAGTGGTCTGTTCCAAGTCGTGTTCGACAGCACCAAGATGCAGATTGCGCACAAGGACTCCAAGCAAGTGGTGGCGACGGCAAACCTCGTGGATGGACTCTACTGGCTCCAGACGCCTCAGCGATCGGCGAATGCGGCGACCAGTGGGAAGACGGTCGACTTACACGCGCGTATGGGTCACGCTCCGGTGGAGGTGCTTCACAAGATGGTCGACAACAACATGATCAAGGACGCGAAGGCACCTTCCAAGTCGAGTGGACCAAGCGTGTGTCGCGGCTGCCAGCAAGGGAAAATGGTCCAGAAGCCGTTCCCAAGCAACCGTGACAAGCGTCACTACGACACGTTCGAGCTGCTCCACTTCGACGTGTGCGGCCCCATGGAAGAAGAGTCACTGGGTGGCAGCAAGTATCTGCTGCTGATCGTGGACGAAGCCAGCGGATGCATGAAGGGGTTCTGCCTGCGTGCCAAGTCGGAGAGCGAGGACTGCATCAAGATGTACGTCACGAAGGTGCAGACGCAGTTCGGCAAGAAGGTCAAGTTTGTGCGGCACGACGGAGCCCGTGAGTTCGCGACCAACTCGCTCAAGGCCTTCTACGAAGTCGAAGGCATCGAGCAGCAAACCACGGTTCCGTACGCGCACCAGACCAACGGCACGGCAGAACGCGCCATCCGGACCATCGTCACGATTGGCCGCAGCATGCTGCATCACGCCAAGCTGGACAAGAGCTTCTGGGCTGAGGCGGCCATGACAGCCATCTACGTGAAGAATCGTCTGCCATCACCCAAGATCGAACACAAGACTCCGTTCGAGATCGTTTACAAGTCCAAGCCGAGTGTGAAGCACATGCGTGTGTTCGGATGCCAGACGTACATCCTGACGCCGAAGGAAAGACGGCGCAAGTGGGACCCCAAGGCTCGCGCCGGGCTGTTCCTCGGCTACGAAGAAGTGTCCAAGGCGTATCGAGTTTATGACATCGAGGCGGGGCAGGTGGTTATCAGTCGCGATGTCAACTTCGATGAGTCGACCTTTGGACTTTCGACGCATACTTCGGATGAAGACGTCGATGATGCTGTGCTGGACTTGGACGCGCTGGACCTGGACGACAACGATGGACCGCGCCAAGCGAGCTTCAAGCAGGCGGGGAAGCGCAAGTACCGACCGAGTGGCGACGACAACACTGCCAGAAGATCGCGCCCCGTTCGCCACCGAGCTGGCTTAGAAGAAGCAAGTGCGCCGGACGTATCCTCCTCGCGCCGAGCCGACCCCGACGAAGAAGAAAAGTCTGGGGACCAAGATGAAGACGACGACTCGACGCCTCCAGTGTTTTGGCGTGCCAGTGCCAACGCTGTGGAAGCAGCAGCCGATCTATCGGAGCCGACAACGTTCCAAGAGGCTGCGAACGGTCCTGATCAAGTGCACTGGCGCAAAGCGATCCGCGCGAAGCTCAAGTCGATGCGACTGCGTGGTGTGTTTCGAGCTGCCAAGTTGCCTAACGGACAACGCGCCATCGATACCAAGTGGGTGTTCAAGATCAAGCGCAAAGCGGACGGCTCGATCGAGAAGTACAAGGCGCGCCTCGTGGCCAAGGGCTTCAAGCAGAAGTACGGCATTGACTACACCGAGACGTTCTCGCCCGTGGTCAAGTATGTGACACTGCGCATGGTGATCGCGATTGCTAAGTATTTTGGCTGGCCCCTCGACCAACTCGACGTGGTGACAGCATTCCTGTACGGGATAATGAAGGAGGTGGTCTTCTGCGTGGTTCCGGAAGGCGTCGAACTGGATGGTGACTTCGACTGCCTGGAACTGGTGAAGGCCATCTACGGTCTCAAGCAAGCTTCACGAGTGTGGAACGAGACCTTCGACGAGTTCGTGTGCTCCATCGGCTTCCAAGTGTCGGCCTTCGATCCGTGCCTCTACATCAAGGTGGTGGACGGTCACTGCGTGCTTGTACTGGTGTACGTGGATGACGTACTGATTACCGGGAGTTCGCCCGAGCTGATCGCACGCACGAAGACCGACCTGAAGACGCGCTTCGAGATGACCGACAGCGGCAAGTGCGCGTTTGTTCTTGGGATCGAGTTGGTGGACGGCCCGGACGGCAGCGTGACCATGTGCCAGCGGCGATACGTGGACGACATCCTGAAGCGCTTCGCCATGGACGAGTGCAAGGCCGTGGTGAGTCCGGTGGACATGAGCACTCGACTGGTTCCAAGCGACGCGGCGACCAAGGTGAACGCTCCGTTTCGCGAAGCTGTTGGTGCTCTGATGCACCTGATGACCGCCACGCGCCCAGACATCACGTACGCCGTTGGCTATGTATCGCGCTTCATGGATAACCCCCAAGAGGAACACTGGGTTGCGGTCAAGCGTATCTTTCGCTACCTGCAAGGCACCAAGACGCATGGGATCTGCTTCAAGCCGGGCGACAAGATCGACTTTCGTGGCTACTCGGACGCGGACTGGGCCGGCGACCTCGCCGACCGCAAGTCCACTTCAGGCTACACGTTCATGCTCATGAGTGCGCCTGTGAGCTGGGGAAGCAAGAAGTAATGAAGCGGAGTACATCGCGCTCAGTCTGGCTATCCAAGAAGGCAAGTGGATTCATCGCCTGCTATGCGAGATTCTGGCGGCCGCTAATGAGACTGGACCCGAACTCATGATCCGCGAAGACAACCAGTCGTGCATCAAGATGACGAAGAACCCAGTGAACCACGGTCGCGCCAAGCACATCGACATCAAGTACCACCACATCCGCGATGAAGTCAAGCGCGGCGAAGTCAAGCTCCAGTACTGCGAGACTTCTGTGATGCTAGCGGACATCATGACGAAGGCGCTTGCGGGACCACGCCACACGGATCTGACGGTGGCTCTCGGCATTCGTGGGACTTCGCATTGAGGGGGCGTATTGAGGGTTGCTGGTCTTGGGTACTGTGTACCAGTTGTACCCATTATCCGGTTAACCCGAACCGGTCCAATCCGAACCCACGTTGATTATGGTGATTACGGTAAGTTGTTTACGCCACCGATGATTAGACGAGTAGGATGATTGGATGAACACCGGTGAGTGATGGTTGATTAGATGCACTAGGTGATAGGACGCAGGGTCGCGTGTTTATAACAGTAGGGTGTAAGCTCCAACAATTCAATCACTTTCGAATCTTCATTCTACCCCTCAAGTGCCTTCGCTCCGGTCCCGCCGTCTGCGACGTCATTCCCTACGCTTTGTCCGAGCTTCGTGTCCAAGATCCATACCTTCCATCACATTCTCCAGAGACGCAAGGTATCGCCCATTATCGATCAGTCGACGGGTCCACCCGATCCAACAAGCGGACCGGAGGCAATGAGCCCTGATCGGGGGGCGGCCGTCGTTGATACGCTTCGATCAGGAGGCAGACCGTTGCAGGACGATGATCGCGTGACAGATGAGTCGAGGTCGTCAGCTTCAACTGTTCTCGTCGGAGATCCACCAGACCCACGGTCGGATCCGGTTGAGTCGGTGTGTGAACCTTCCGGATCGGGGGAGGAATGCTCTCCAAAG